CAATGTTTACATTCTACACCAAACTCATTTTTATTTCAAGAAAGTGTGGAAAATATCCTTCCATGATATGGGCTCTTCAATGCATTCAGTATTCATTATTTAAGGTGTAAAGAGTAGTCGTAACCCAGACTCAAGCAACAGTATTGCTACATTTGTAAAATTAAGGGAAACCTAACTGTCATCTGTTTTGATAAATGTATATTGATAAATGAGTTTGATAAAGTATGAAAAATTGTTAAAGTTTCAAAAAAATACCATTCACTCCCCAGTCCATATTTTACGAAACTAAGCTGCAAAAACAACCTATTCTGATTTTATTGTGTTCATGATGTCACAAAAAACAACACATTTGCACATATCCGCCAGTTCATCCTACAGCAGTTTAGCCCCACCCATTCACTCTGAAGTTATAAGGAATGTTTCAGCCTGCTTTTTGAATGAGGCACAATACAGGGCAGCCAGACAAACATAGCTCTTTTATCATATTAGTCTTAAAGGAGCAGTAACAAAACAGCTCAAGTTTTAAGGGATGAAGAGAGGTTGGAAAACGGTGATACAAAAATGAATTATGACTGAAGTGGACCTCAAGGGAAAAAATGAAATACTAGAAAAAGGTGTACTTGAGTACATTTAACCGATTAACTGAAACTAACATCAGTTGATGGTAAAATGTGAATTATTAATAACAAATAAAATAATGACTTTACTGTCTAAATCAGAGGTTGATATCTATCTGCTCTGTATCTCCATCATCATCTCTGTGCAGTTGGAGATCATATCTCATGGCCTCTTCTCTCCTACTGAGCACCAGCTGTCATAACCTGATCAGCTCTGCCATTTAACACACATGGATAGGTCTCCCTGCGCACACACACACACGAACACACACACATTTCTTTGTTTCTCCTTATCATCCCTCCATGTCAGCAAAGGAGGGTTCAAACAGTTATTTAATGGACACAGTGAATGCCCTACACTGTCCTCCTGCTCAAGAGCATGTCAGATGTGGAGGAGAGAATATTATGTATTTGATATTTTCCATTGTAATGTGAATGTGACCTTTACGCAAGAGAGCTGAACCTCACTACCTGTAAAAGTGGAATGATTATGACATTTATCTGTGAGAATATCGAAAGGTAGCAAAGAGCTGAAGATGATACAGTTTCACTTGTTGTCCACATTTTGGTCGGTATAAATTAAACATGTCACTGTCTTTCAAGCAGATATTATTTTTTATGCAGTTGTGCTGCACCATTTTAATATTCTTCAGAAGATATGGGACATTAATGAACAGTTCAGAACAGTTGTTGCATAATAATGAGTAACTATCAATATTAATTTTAACAATCATTATTAGGTGTTAATATAAATGTAATTTACTAACTAGTTCATTGTAATATTAATCATTAGTAAACTTCTCTGTCCATTTTATGATTGAGGTAGAGACAAACAGTGGTAGACAAAATACATAACCCCTGTACTTGAGTGAAAATGGAAAATATCCTTGGTAAAATATCACTCAAGTAAACAAATTAAACAAGAAAACAAAATGCTAAAATATGGTGTGTGTGCACTGCTGCAAATCTCCTGTAAAGCCTGAAATAATCATTTAGAAGTCAGGCATCAGGTCAGATTTTGCAGGAGCCCCTTTACTTCTGAAGACTCAGCCTCTCTGGAATGCCCTTTTTATACCCAACCATGTGACTGGCCTGTTGCCAATTGACCTAATTAGCTGTGAGATGTTCTACTAGGATTTTTTTGGCATGATACAATTTTACCGGTCTTTTGTTGTCCATGTCCCAACTTTTTTGAAATGTGTTGCTGGCATAAAATTCAAAATGGGCATATACTTTTCAAAAAACAATGAAATTTCTCAGTTTCAGCATTTGATATGTTGTCTTTGTACTATTTTCAATTAAATAATTTGCATACTGGTGCATTTTCCATTTTTATTTACATTTTACACATTTCAACTTTTTTGGAAACGAGGTTGTACTTGCGAAGTACATCCACCAGTTGAATCCTAATCCTAATCCTAATTTTCAAAACATACAATGGGTGTACACAATCTGTGTTCTTGTTACCCGACACAAAAACAAACTGTTTTTAATAGTGTTCCTTCAAATATCATAATAATTCACCAGCGAATTGTTAGATGCATGTTATAGAATAGAACAAATACTATGATTTTAATACATGAGAACAAATAATAAGAATGAAAATATAAGTATTTATATATTTGTACAATCAACAATCATGAAACAGCTGATAGGCTTGCTGGATTTGTGTTGTGACAAAGCCGGCACAGCCCCTGTCTCTGGAACTTTATTCTGTTATATAGTACAGCAGACACAAACTGATCCCACAGTCATCAAACAGTTGACTAAGCTTCTATGATGTGATATGATCTAAGCCATACACACGCCCGGTACAAAGCCATAATCAGCGTGTTATCAATAGTAGGGTTTGGGGTGGATAGGTTTAAGCCCTGGTGGAGATTTGGCTGTTCCTCTGTTATTGAATATTTCCATTGTCAGGCTAACAAAAGTGTGATGATCACAGGGAAAATGCTTACAAAGGAATTGCTTTCTTTGCATTGTAAACAGCACGCTGATATCAGCAGTTTTGAAGAGAAATATGCGATGATTGGAAAAGCGCTGGTCTGTTTGCCTGTAATGAGTTCTTAGAATGAGATGCCAGGACTGTGAACAGACAGACCTCATGTTTTTTTCTTTTAACATTTAATGCTAACAGCAATTGAATAGAGATGTCCTGCTTGAATTTCTCATTGTTATTACAATTATTGAAGGGTTGCATTCCAATATGCATTATATACACTTTCAAAATGTTTTTCATGATATGAAAAATATGAGTGGATGAGGGCATTACACTTCAAGAAATATCAATGCCTGTGTTTAATACCATACTTCTTAGAGAAACAAAAATGTGTTTTCCATTATACATCAGCTGTTATTGTTTTCAAAAATAATCGCTATAACCAATATTGTTACAAGTGGATGTACAGCATTTAGGAATGTACATCCTCAACTACTGCTACTATTTTATATATATTTCATTGTTTAATCCACAATTAAATCCAACAAAAACTAAACAGTGGCTCAGTCTATGCATTACTGTTTTACTTCCTTGAAAACTGAGACTTGAACAGGAAAACGTGGTCTTTTGAAGGTCGTGCCTTGCTGTCTTTATTCAGACACTTTAGCTCTTTTGCTTGGCCTGCTGCAGGGCTCCCCATCTGTCTGAGTCAGATATGTATCTAATGAGTGGTGTGGATGTGTTTTGTACTCGAGCCCTTGTGCTTCATTCCAGCTGATTGCTCATTTTATAATGCTAATGGACGCAGGCTGGTGTTGGGTTTCCCCCCGTCAGCTGGCCACTGCCACCGTGAGAGACGCTTAATGGGGGCTGACAGCTCATGGAGCAGAACTCATTCAAAGTGGGATTTGGTATGTGGGATTGGGCTGGTGTCATTCAATGGACATATTAGTGGCCTTTATGAGTCAGGCGTATTTGATGTTGGTAAGCTCTACTCCAGGATGTATCACTATGGAGATACTCCACCCAACCAACCCTGCAGATGATGGGGGGCATTCACTAAAATCCTGAAATGGGCTCCTGCATGAACATCAGATCTCCAGGAATATATTTGTTGTTTAATACAAAAGTGACTGAAAACATAGGCCATATGTGATGTTTTCTTTCTCTTAAATATTTTATACACAACTTAATCAGGTTTTTTAATCAAGTATAAAAAAAACACACACAGAAATGAAGACACAACAATGTCAACATTCATCTAAAGAGTATAAAGAAGACCACAGTACAGAAAACAAACACAATCCTAAGTACAATTTGATAATTTGTTTAAAAACACTTCTGAATTATCTCAGTGTATCACATTTCTATACAGCAAAATCATGCAGACACTGCATTGTTCACTCAATTATGCAATACCATAGCTAACCATCTGTCTACATAGTTAACTTTATTTAAAGTCATGAGACAGAGTATCTGATATCTATGAATGGTACACCTTTCGAATGAATGGGCCCTTTTATTCTGTTAAGGTAGCAGGAGAGGTATCGCCTTCCATTGGCAAAGATCATTCAGTATAGCACAATGTGTTATTATTAGTGGGTTTATTGAAATGTAAATTCAGAGGACAAAGTGACCCAGATTTATATCAGAAGTGAAAGGGCATGAATATTGTTGTGCAGGTGGAAACACTGGCAGCATTATGTTAAGTTATACACAAAAAACTATTAAGGGTTAGTCTTTACCAAAAAAGAAGGCTCTAACATAAAGAACGCCATTTTATATATGTAAGCCTTTTAAGCTGTATATATGAAATGGAAGCTGGAATTCTCAGTTCATAGAATCTGTCTCACAATAAAATCACACATACAAACATACAACTGTGAAAACTCACCGTAGCACCAAATTAACACAGTCATGGATTCTGAAGTTCTGACAAAGTAAAAAAAAGCATATATAAAAAACAACAACATGTAAACTGCTGTATGACTGCATGTGGTACAGATATACAAAACATGAACAAAATTAATACTCTTAGTACTAATTAATATTAATATGCTGTCCTCTTTGTGAATCAAGTAAACAGTTATATGTAACACTGATTGGGCCTTCCTATTCGAAAACTCAAATAAAGCCAAAACAAAACTCAGTGTTGGTAATCAGTAGTATATAAATAGTATTAATAACAATAAATAATCAAAAATGTAATTAATAATAAATATGATCACACTCACAAAAATGGTACCATTTCAAACATGGATTTAAAAAATGCAAAAAGCTCATTGATGTCTAACACAGTGTCTATTTTTATAACAAAATAACTACATATTAGTATGTCAAATCTTAAAAACATTTTCCTTAAAAAACACATACCACAATTGATCATTTTTAAATATGATAGATTTTTATGAAAATAATATTTTAATGGGATCACCAGTTTTTTTTATCCTCACTAAAGAGAAGTACAAAATATTAATCGGTTTTACTGTCTTCAATCAACTGTGTAAGGTGAAAACTTGTCCCATTCTCACCCAGTCTCTCAAGCCAAGGGAGAGCTCTTTTAGTTTCTACATTGTGTAGTTTCTCCAGACTTGCTGCCAGTCCACCAATAAGTGAGTTTCCTCCATGGCCAACAGAAACTGACAGGTGTGGTGTGCCTCCGTTTTGAATCACAGAGATTTCATTGGTTTTCATTGCTAAGCCATTAGTAAGAGCTGCTGTGGCATACTGGTTCCAGAGGCTGATGGACTCCCCATTGCTGACTCCGGCTATGGCAGCTTTTGGGATTGTCTCTGGAACTTTTACACAATTGGATTTAAGGAATGTCAAATGACCATCTACAGAGAGCCGGCGACCTCGTCGGGCTGGAGAACTGCTCCACATATGGGTTCCCATGTGAACCTAAATGGACATAAATAAGAAAAAAACATACATAAGCTACATACTGTACTCTGCAAAAGTCATCGCTTACTTATCTAATTTCAAGTCCAAATAACTATTCAGTACAAGTTATTCATTTTTCAGGAGATATTTCTGAGGAGACTGATACAAGATAATCCACTTGCATATGGAAGTGGAAAAAACACAACAGGAGTTTAAATAATTCCTAACAAACATACAAAACCTAGTAGAGCACCAAAACCTGTCACCAAGGGATAAACAGTACTTAAAGCTCTAATTATCAAGTAAAAAGAAGCTGCTGGTGAGTCCAGACCTCAAACAGCTTCTACGACTGAAAAAGAAAATCTCTGCAGATCACTCTGAAAACTGAAAGCAAGTCTCCTGCAAAGAATGGAAGCTGTAATAAATGCAAAAGGTGGATATACTAAATACTGAGTCTTTTGTTCCTGATGCTGTGGTATATGATGTAGTATTATATGTACCTAGATACTATTTGTTCCATGGTATAGAATGACACTCTTAATATAATATAATATAATATAATATTTAACTTTATAATATTAGAATTAGTATTAGTCATCGTTTTGGAATACATATATTACCATTTTTAAAGTAAAATGATAAGTCTCTATATTTCACAATTAACAGAAGTGACATTACACCACATGTGGCTTTTGACTGGATGTACCTTTAAATTTCCTTTGGTGGTGAATGCACGTCCACAGATGGTGCAGGCAAAAGGTTTCTCTCCAGTGTGGGTCCTCTCATGAATCTGCAGGGCACTAGAAGAAGAGAAAGTCTTCCCACAAGTGTGGCAGAAATGCTGTTTGGGGATTCGCCGTGTTGGAGCCAGTGGTGCTGAATGAACTGGCAGTGAGGGAGTGGAGGAGGATGCCATGCCAAATGCTGAATCTTTGCCATCTTTATTCAAGATGCTGCTGACTTCCATTTTTATTTTTGAAGAAATTAAGTGGCCTATAGAAGGATGAGGTGGGTTTGGTGGAGAAATAAGATTCTGGCTCGCTGCCTCAAATAGTCGTGAAGGTAGGTCCCGCATCTGGTGTGTGAGCATGTGTTGCTTTAGATTACCTTTGGTAGAAAATCCCCTGTTACATGCAGTGCATATGAATGGTCGTTCTTTGGTATGGCTACGATAGTGAATGTCCAAGGCACTTTGACAGGCAAAGTTCTTTTTGCAGATATCACATGCATTGCTCTTAGGGCCTCCACGTTCATGGAAGATCATGGTCATTCCATCCTTTAAGATATCAGCAGGTGCTGAATCAAGTGTACAGTCTGGCTGTAAGAGGCCAGTCTCTAGAGAGGACATTTTTTGGTTTGTCTCAGATGTAAGCGATCTGTAAGTATCCAATGCAGAGCTCTTTGGAGACAAGGAGTCCCAGGAAGATGTAGCTTCAGACAAAGCAGGGCTTCTAGGTCTTTGGCTCACATAGTCATCACTTGGAGATGATCTGGGGGCTAAATAATTATCACCCACTGACCCATTCTCCAAGCTATCATTTAATACATCATTCTCTTGCAAAACGAGTACCTGGCTTTCTGACCCAGCTGTCTTTGTGGGCTGTGATGAAGTAGGAGATGAACATAAGCTGTCCAGAGGAGAGATTGTGTCTTTAGAGTCTGATGCACCTTCAGTTACATCCATGTTTTCATCGAACATCTTCTCTTGATCATCCTTCCCTTCTACTGAGCATGTATCATGTTCCATGGACTCTTCTGGGGAGATAACATTGGGGAGTTCTCCAACCATGTGCATGCGGATGTGCTGTTGTAAAACCATGGCATTAGTGAACTTCTCTTGGCATATGGGGCATGAATGCTGTATCCTCAGGGGGGGTATGGCACGATGGATGCTGTAGTGTGTTTTGAGGTTTCCTTTGGTCGTGAAAGCTCGTCCACATACTCGGCACTTGAACGGCCTCTCACCTGTATGTGTGCGGTAGTGCATTTTTAGAGCACTCTGGCAACTGAGTACCCGGTGACAGATGATGCATTCATTGGGGTCTGCACACTTCTTGTCTATGTTCTCTACCAGTTGCTGCAGCTTGGTGGTTTCTGAGGCTTCCATGGAATCGGGGAGACCCCCAAATGGAAATTTTGGTTTGAAATTCTCAGACAGTAGTGGAGCCACTGAATTTGTTTGCATAGAGGCATTGTCAACGGAGGTGTGGTCACCCGAACCATCTCCTAAGGAGTTCATACATGTTGCAAAGCTCAGGGATTTTTTGACCTCTTCATATTTTCCATTTAAAGTTGAAAAAGGGTCACTGCTAAATTCCTCTTTGTTATTTCTTCTTTCAAATGTCTCAAACCCATTTGAATCACTAATGACAGGGCTAGGAGCCCTTGTAATTGATACCACTTGCTCCTCTCTTTTAATTATGCTTGGAAGACTTGGCAAAGATCCGGTGAACAACAATGCAGGTAAGTTGGTCACAGATGGTTTGCTGTCTAACCAGTTGGAGGCAGGTTTATCTGGCGGCATAGACATACCATATGGAATGCCTGTACTTGTTGGAACGCTATCTAAGTGCTCTGGCACTGGGAAAGGATTCATTTGTATGTTAGGATATTTCTCTTTATGACGTTGGAAGTGAACTTTGAGATTTCCACGAGTTGAAAACCGATTCCCACATATGTTACATTTGTATGGTCTCTCGCCTGTGTGGGATCGCAGGTGTATCTGTAAAGCGCTGTCACTTCCAAATATTTTGGCACAAAATCTGCATTTGTGCTTAAACAAACCTTCATCAAAAGACTTCTTGTGTTCAAATGAAGTCATATTGGGCAGTTTGCCTTTCCGTTGCTGAGCTAAAGCAGTCAAGGCGTTCAAGTCCTCTACAATTGTCCCAATGCTTGGCAACGCATTAGCGAAGATCTGATTTCTAGCAGGAACACGAGGTAGGTTGAGCTTATTTGTTGGATTCGATGCAGTATCGGCTGCTAAGGCAGGGGAAGGTGGATGACTTGTGCCACTCTGCTGCCTATAGATGGTACCATCACAAATAGACTGGTTTTTAGACAGATAAGTGCCAAGTCTTGGTATCAAATGTTTTCTTCCATCTGTATCTGTCACTTGAGAAATGTCCCTGCCACTCAACGTTGCTGTGCTATCATGGCCACTTAGTAAGACTGCATGCTTAAGTTGTTTAACATTGCTAATGCTTGCAGACTGACTCACGAGGCTTTGCGCTAACCCTGCAGCTGCTGCTAGCTGCTGGGAGAGATGGGAGCTGAGTGTTATTAGCGGGTTGGTCTGCGAAATCCCTGATGTACCTTGACAGTTGCCGGAGGAAGGTGCTGATGTATCTGTATTCTGGGCTGCTAACGATAATATCTGATGTCGAATTTGCTCAATGAGTTTCAGCTGCTCCACCTGCTGTTGCTGCAGAGCCAGGAGTTGTTCGATTAGACCAGGTACGGCTATGTTGCAGTCGGAAAGACTGCTGCTGCTGCTAACTTCTGCATTGAAACACAGCTCTTGAGAGAACTGAGCTACAGCCACTTTTGTGCTCTCCAAATTCTCAATGAAGACATTACTGCTGGTGGATGATACTGTACCCAGTTCAGGTGGAGAATCTGCTTGAGGCAAACCTGATGAATACACTGTTCCAGCACTTGTGCTTCCATCTACTGTGCCATTTTCATTATCTGACTGAGAGTGACTTGCACTGTGAGAACTGCTGCCCTCGGACATGAGAGCTGGTTCCATGTTTTCTTCTAGTGTTTTGTCCTTTGAAAAGTCATGTAGTCCTTCTGTATCTTCATTACTGATGCTGTCATCTACATTGCAAGGAGGTGAGCTAAACGTGAAAGATGGTGAAGGAGAGGCTGGACTTCCATTTTCACTCACTATCAGAACTAATGGGTTCTTAAAGCAGCCCATCTGATGCTCTTGGAGGTCTGGCAGTGTAAAGAACTCAGCGCAGCAACTTTCACACACATGGACATCGGATGGCGGAGAGCTGATATTTTTTATGTGGTAGTCTGCATTGTCATTAGAGAAACAAAATGAAGACATCACTTTGTTAGAAGAGATGCTTATCAGCTCCACATAACAGTTTAAATAAGTTTGAAAGACAAGTCAGTACTACCAAAAAGCATGATATTTTAGAATAAACAGTGTATGTACAGTGGTCCCAGAAAGTATTTTGACACTTTAACCATTTAACCATTGCCAAAGTTCTTCAGGTTACTTCAAAAAACGTTTAACAAATGGTATGTGTTTCAGAGAAATAGTGATGGTAGCCTGTTTTGTGTAAAAAGTCTAGAGAGGTATTTTAGCCAGACTGCGCTAAGGGCAGGCAGAGAGGTGGGAATGTGAAAGTCTGGGGCTGTTTTTCTTACAGTATTGTTGGTGGGCTTGTGTTCACTGATAGCATCATGAACTCAGAAGTGTACAGAGACATTTGGATGTAAATCTGCAGAAATCTGCAAAAAAAGTGCTCAAATGACAACGTTCTGAAACACACCAGCCGTCTTGGAACAATCTGTTTAAAATAAATGATACTTGGTTTTCCTAACACAATGAACTTCATGCATTTTTATATTAAGTCTGGCACAAATGTTGGAGCACTTTCTGAAGCCACTGTATATTTCGTATTGTGGACAACTTTCTACAATTACCATTTAACTTTAAAGATAATGTGAGAGAAGAGATGCTAACTTCTGAGCACAAACTAATTTTCACAAGACTAGCTTGCAAATGAGGGCTAGATTTCAGAAACTATGAAAATCTAAAGCTTTTCAGATGATGACCAAGTAAAACAGTCTGATCAAGCCAGTCTGAACTGCTGAAAGATGTACAAGCCATGCAGATGTTGAAATGTAGCTCACTGTTATTTAATCAATAGTTTAAAGTATTAAAATCCATTGTTTATGGTTTATAACGCTGATTCTCCACTATTACAAAAGTGTAAAGTGCAGCGAAGATGTCATTTTCTGGATATGACCACAGAAACCCTGCCCACTTTGTGCTGGAACTTACCTAAGTGTTCAGAAGGAGCGAGATGCGAGTCCAGGTGGACACACTGAGGGTTCGCCTGTTTTCTCCGAGACATGCTGGTCCTACATCAGCTAACAGAGAGGCTTTATCACTTTCTTCCAAACTCCTCGGCTAAAGCGACTTTGTTAAGTCTGCCAACACTTCTTTCACTACTTCTTGTACAGCATCAGTTCAGTAGAAAAGTAGTTTAGCCTGTTCAGAGAACTGCGTTAACTAAATACTCTTTCGAGCGCCGCATACAACTGCCGTAAGCACGTCTCCCGTAGCTTTCTGCTGCTCTCCACTAACTCTGAGTCGAAAGGCTCGTGGAGACTCATCAAAACACTTCCCATACATTCCCAAAGCTGAGAGAGATGCGCCTTCCAACAGGAGAAAGTCAGCGAGATGAACTCAAGGTGTACATTCTTTGAGAGCCTGGAGAGCTCAGAGTCCAGCCCACCTGCGTTTCTATTGGTCGTCAGTGTGAAAGGGCGGGGCTTGGGCGGAGCTCAGCCCGTGTGTCAGCAGGAATCAGCGGTGGCTAATGCAGTGAATCATTAGAGCTGATGACACACACACGTACACCATACCGCTCTGTCCATGTCCATACACTACACCATATGAGTTTATATATTTATACATTTACTATCACTGCAGTTATCATTGTGAAAATAAGCCCCATTTGGTGAGCACTTACATATTAGACCACATCAAGCAAAATGCGCGCTATGACATATTAAAATAAGAATGTTATGATAGTAGAATGAGACTAATGATGATTTAATTAACGTTCTAACGTTTCTGCATGGTGGTGTTGAGGTCCAAAAACAAATACACAAACAAAAAGAAAAACAAGAAAAAAAAATTAACAAACAAATAAATAAATAAGACCATCTTTTTCATGATCAATGGACTAATAGAAATGCTCCAAAATAACTTGGAGTAAAATCTCTTTACATTAACTTGCATTAAAAGTTAACAGTGTTTGTGATGCTTAGTATAGTTCGCCTGGTTCATTCTGGATACAAGCAATTTCAAATGTTGTTTTATTTTAGGTTATATTTTTACAAATTGGTAACTTTTCACATTGTTGGCTGGCAAACTCCAAACTCAGTTTGAAACTTCAGCTTCAGATGGCACTGGCTAGTTGAATCTGTGCCGTCAGTGAGGAGCTACCAAACAGTCTTTTTTTTTGTATTCAGTATAGCATGATGGGCCTGAACTACAAGAGTATAGTGGAGTAAACAGGAGATGTTTACTTCTGTTATCACTTCTCATCATTCAGTTCTATGTATAAAGGTGTGTTGACCTAAATAAGCTACCTTACAGGTCTGGAATTTTCATTTTGCCTTTGATGGAGCATAAACATGACAATTACTGTCAACCTGATCGTTTGATTTAAGGTTCTACAGTGTACTGAACAAATACATAAATACTCAAGTCATTTTCTTGTGAGACTGAGATGTGTATGTGTGTGAGATAGAGAGAGAGAGAGGGACAGAGAGAGAGAGAGAGCACCAGGTGTACTTCACTACATCCTATGAGTCATCTTTTACAGTCATTAGATATGAAGGACTCTGTTAAAGTGCTGCTATCCCTTGCCTGGGGTCCATAGCAACAGACTTGAGACGGGCAAATGACACCTTTACTTCCTATAAACAAACTCTGCATGCCAACCTTCTTTAGTCCTGTCTCACACCAATGCACCAGTTGGAGAACATATAGCACAGCATCTTATTTTTTCTTTGAATTGGGAAAAAATGTTTTGGCTTCCTATTTGAATGTATGTATGAATGAAAACGAAAACATTTCGCAACCTGACCTTATTTGAGACTATTTAATTATTTAGATAAATAAGCTCCCAAAAGACTCTCTGCTTTTATTTCCCCACAAAGACGTCAGCTGGAGGAGGGAGCTGGAATCCTCCAAAACAAAACCGTAAAGAGTGAAATACAGGTTTATTGGAGAGTGGGGTTGGTTGGCACAGGGGTTGGTGTGCAAAGCATTGACTTCCAGTAATGAGAACTCCCACAAAAATGTAAGATAAGATGATTAGCCTCTTGACCAACACGCATTCAATTATTTTTCTCAGGATAATAAAACATGTTAAGGTGGGGATAACTTTGTCATTATTTCTGTGTTCAAAAAAAGTTTCCCTGAATTTATACATTATAGAAATATTTGTGTAGTAATGCAGATGACATAGAGTAAACACAGAGTTGTTCCTGATATGGATGGGGTTGATTGGCACATTGTTTTTGGGGTTGGTTAGCTCAGGTAGCAGCCAGCCCAAGAGTAGGCTATTATCAAAAACATGTTACACTGTATTGTTGCTGTCCAAAAAAACAAGAATCTTCAAAATGGTAACTTTATAGGAAAGAACAAAACTGTCCTTTACTTTTAATATAGGTTAATATAAAGAGATTTTATTCCTGGAAAGAGCATTTCTATTAGTCCATTAAAAAAATGGAGATACATGTTTTTCTTTGGACGACATGCTGCTCACACAATAAATAACATAATAACATACTTAATAACACAGCTACAATGCAGTGTTGTACTATATGTTTTTATTGAAACTACATTAACTTTCTAACACGTTTTGAAGAAGCAACACGTTCCCTCCCTGCCATTTATCCTGTTTCTTTTCCTTTCATGAGAAGCGCGTTGGTTCAGCAAAAGGAAGCAGTGTACTTTTTCAGTTATTTAATTCCTTCTCTCAGAATGTGTTGTTTACTAATATTGATGCCATGCACTGGTAATCATGTAGAACATAACAGGTCATGGAACAGCTGACTGGAGAAACACTCTGTGCTGCAGGAACTTTGCTGTCTCTTCACTTTAAAAGACACTATAGATTTTATCAAGGGTAGCTGTTTGCTCCCACAGAGATGACTTTCTGTGGCTACTGAGACGAATGGAAGTCAGTTTGAGTTCCCTCTGCCCCTTTCTGTCTGCATTTTATGACAGCAAATTCAAATGTCCCACAAGCATGGATGCATAACTGACATTGTATTGTCTAGCATCTGTTTGCATAAATGTGCTCATATTTATGGTTTGTCAGCTGTGTTTGGCAGGAGAGGAGGTTACCGTGCGGTAAATCTGGCCAGTAAAACTGCCAGAGAGATGTGCGGCTCTGAAGATTGGCAGGTACAGGGATGACAGAATGAATATTTCTTCAGAAACTCCATCTATGTCATCCTTTGGATGCATTGTATCAAAAGTCTTCCAATCTCTCATCTTTTACTGCGCAACATATATCACCATCTGATTGTTTCTTCTTTAGAAAGTACAGGAATAAGAAATCAAAGTTTGTGTTTGTGTTCTGTTACTTTAGAAAGGTTCTTCACACTCTCATTAGCAAAACATATTTAAATGTTCTTTAGGGAACCAAAAGTGTTTTTTATGGCATCACTCTAAAGAACCCCTTTTGTCACCTTTATGTTTAGGACTGTTTCTTAACTGGAACAAATGTGCAGATTATCTGTCTTTTGCATGACTAATGACATATCATCACGATAGCCAATCCAGTTGTAATCTTTCTTTTATGTATCACACTGTTAGCAGTATAATTTGATATGTGCTCTATATTCTGAATGACTCATGGTCTAAATATGCCAATGTGACTGCACATTCTCATGTAAGTGCATGCATGTCTGCTTGCGCCTGCTCTTGTGATTAACTAAGCAGATAACAGTGGTTTAGTTTGAATAAGAGGATCTGTCACACCTGTGACACAATCATGTTTTCATCTCAGAATATGAATTACCATGCATTCTCAAAGGCCGAAACGTTTATTATGAGCTGTAATTTTTCACTCCGGACCCACAGCCATTTGTCATTGTAGTGAACTGGCACTTAATTATCAGCATGTAAAGTGTGTCAGTGTGTAAATGCTGTCTAAACAGCTCAGCATTACAGTAACAAGTAAAAATGACACATTTCTTATAACACCACATTTACATTACACATATATGACTAAAACAGGGATTAAAGGGGCCATGTCCCACATTTCTCTTGTATTTTTTGTTTTTTGTCTTTTAATTTGAGGTCCATTTCTGATATTTGTGCATGTTTATGGATCAAAAAACAGTCTGTAATTCATTTTTACATGACCATTTAATAACCTTGGTTTATCCTTTAGAATTAGACAAGCTGTTTTTGTTACTGTGCCTTTAAGACTGGCTGCCTGTACTGTTCATTTAAAAAATAGTCATGGCAGAAACAATGATAATAACTTTATAATGACTTTAACATGAACGAGTGGACTACCCTTCTAAATAATGAAAGGGCAAATGTATGTAAATATATTGGATCTTGTGACATCACAAAAATAATGAATATGTAAGAAGTGAATAGTGTGTTTTGAAACTGTAACAGTATTTGCATAGTATGCCAAACTCTTTTGTTTAAAATATGTGAACAATATTTGCTGTAGGGGAAATAGCTGGATGTATGTAAATGTGCCAGTTTTTATGACATTCACAAAAACAGTGAACTCCAAAGGGGTGTTTTTGCTGCTTAACTTCCATATATGGGCCAGACAGACTGGGCAGTAAATGGTATGTTCTGAAACATCAAACTTTTACTTAAAAACAAACAAACAAAAAATGGAAAATTCAATAAACTATAACACTTTTATTATTGGTCAGGTGACATTATTTATTTGTTATTTTTGACAAAAATAAGGCTTAAACTGTCTTCTTCAGAGCGAGCATGCTGCTGTGAAGCATTGATACGAGCTGCATGGGAGCAACACTGATTAACAATGGTTCAGTACACTTCAAATGAATGAGCTGAGTGAGGTATGAAAGCACAGCATGTAGTCATATTTCAGACAGTGACCTCACACACTGACTAACTCACTCAGTTATGTGAGTCTTTCATAGAGGCCACAGTGAAAAGACATGCTTCCCAGCACTACTGACTCACTCACAGTCAGACTTCTTATGGCCTCTCATATTAAACTCAAGTTATAGCTCAAATCAACACAGGTGTTACTCATCACCTCACTCATCACCTCTGATCAGCTTTTAGTATTAGATCATAAAAATAACAGCTCTCAACAAACTCAAGATGCAGGGTCTGTCAGTAAGAGTTAACAGAAGGGTTTTTTTGTTTAATTTTTAATTTTTGGTGCTATTCAGAACTATTCTTTGAAAGGTTCTTTAAAGAACTAAACAACAGTTTCTCCATCATGGAGAAGAACTGTTTTACCATCCGAATAACCTTTTAAAAAGGGTTCTGTGTTGTACCAACAAGATTCTCTGACTTTTTGGTTTCACTTCATTGTTGGTGCCATACAGAACCTTTTCAGAAATAGAATTTCTATCATAGAGAAGAACCACTTAACAATATTAAGCACCTTTTGTGCAAATTGTTCTTTGACTTGTTACACTTTTATATATAACCATTACCATTTGCTAAAGAACCCTTGCAGAACCATTTTTCAAGGGTGCATTTGTAAGCATCCCCACAATCTACTATAAATAAATTAGTATATTTATACAGTAAGTAGTATTTTTCATTGGTTATTTAATCAAATGTTGCGAATCAGTTTCTTAATGCTCCTCTCCCAGTATGCTCAGGTTATTATAAGATGTTCTAGTCAAATTTCCTCCCATTGTACCCTAAAATGTTGACATATCAGTCCTAATGAATATATCAAAACAATCTCCCACAACAGAAACACTGTGAAGACACAAGATTAGCATATCTAAAGCAAGCAGTATTTTACCATTTGCCCTTCAAAACATCATAGTTTTATTCCTCAACGACATCCATCTGGGTTTGCTTTATTTGTATTTTTCCAGTAAGGATCAGGCTTCTAACCCTATTTACCAGAAATGAGAAAACCTGGACCCCAATCTATATTGCTTAGTCACAAGTGAAAAGATTATGCCATATTATGAATCAGTGGGGATCTGACTACATACCAAAAGTACTAAATCATATTTCAGTCTAGGTACAGTGGAGACTTGTGCTGTAGGTCTATTGTGTACTCTGAGCCAGTCAGGGATTTCAGCCTGTAGTTTAATCTCCCATAGCACCATGCATCAGTGCTTTATAACACTAACCTAATGCATGCAGTGCCAAACAGAAAGTGCTCCAACTGCCTTTGCATGTTAGACATGGTGGGCCAGTGTGCCCACAATTAAGAGCAGGACTCCATCTAGTGGAGAAACATAAGACAGTCTCAGGACGCAATCTGAACACTGGCAGCACATCTCATTGGTCAGTACATTTTCTCTGGTTTATTTAATGCCTTGTGGGGAAACTCATGTAAGCTCTATGTTAAGCACACATACAATGCTCAAAAAGGTAAATGGAGAAAAGGCACTTTCTCAAGAAAAGGGGATTGTTTACACAATGCACATGGTTTGTTATGACATCACAATCCATAAAATAAAAAAAGCAATCTATTTTTCACGAGTAATAGGAGGATCATTTCTAGAAGAACAAGAAATGAGAGAGAGAAAGAAAGAGAAATGAGTTGTCTTGCACAGCTACATAGCACATGCACAACAGAACGATAATAAATATTGCTTTTAAGCAGAATACAGCTTATACTATTAACATGATAGTTATTAGGTGCTGGTTGTCTCTTGTTGGTATCTCTCTAACTAATGTTAGAAAAATAGCATAAATATATTAGCTATGTAACTCACGCACACGCACATAAAAAGACAGGAAACACACTGCAGCATATAAAAGAGTTCACAATCATTTCTTAAGAGTTTCATAAGAAAACTTGAACTCTGGTCACGTAACATTATAAAATATCTTTTTATGAAAATACTTCTTAAAAAGCAAGTTCAATGAACGCTGCGTCAGATCTGTTGACAAATGCTTTGCTAAGTGCTTCATCTTCTTCAAACATCATCACAAAACATACCATTGTATGTTCTGAGTAAAGGCATATATAAGACAAGATATTTGCTTACTGTAAGCCCATATGTGTTTCTTTCTACTTTGAGAAAATGCAACTCAAAGTTGAATCAAAAAAGAGCTGATGTTGTGGGTGCGAAACTTGATGACTGCATTCTTAGCAAAAAGTTCATCTAGAATGTCTTGCAAGGGTGAGCTGTTGACTGGGGACTAATGTTGGTTAATCGGTCAGGAGGTGCACAGTCATTTCCTCCATGTTTCTCGTCCATGTTTACGCATGGTCATTTTTATGTGGTCGGAGGTGTGTGTGATGTCGCTGATTTGTGGATGTTCCTTTATTTTCATTGGTGGAGTTTAGATCTTGCAGGACTGACTGCTTCAGTGGGAGGAGTTGCGGTCATTGGCCACGTCCTGCAGGCGGCGGAGCAGTGCGGTCTGGTTCTCCTGGCACAGCCTCTTAGCAGGAGACTGCTGCTCCTCCTCCAGAGCCATACTGCGCTTCTTAGTTGGCGTCTCCCCAGTGCGAATCATACTGTTAATCTCCCGCAGCCGCTGCAGGACAAGCACAGAGGAAGAGAGATGTTAAATTTGTACGCTGCAAGCTTGACTCAAGTAGGCAAAACTATATACATGTTTAAAAAGTCAGGTGAGACATAGAGATGCAGTACTGTGTAAGTCCTGGGTCAGTCAAAAATTTGTTTAAAAATAATGGATAGTAAGACTGTCTTTGTGAAAGCACATTGAAACATTAAAATAAATTCATATAATAAAGAAGAATACCTCCTTTTCAATAAAGTAATTGATACAGTGAGGGTAAACAAGTATTCAGACAATTTAATATATGTACAGAGCATAAGAAGAGTTCATTTGCAAAAACAGATCTGCATTTTAATGAATTTTCATAAATCATATTTTTATTGTGTATTCCAGGGAAAATCGTAAATAAATATATTAGTTAATTAAAACAATGAAAACAACCTAAACTTCAGGTAGGATCTAGGAATTGCGAGTCCATTAGAGGGACCCTTGTATCTGAGGTAACCTGGTGACCTGAAGAGATAAGAGATAGGATAATCCTTTATTAGTCCCACAACTGGACAAATTCATATCTGGGGAAATTTAGAAGACAGTTTGCCAACAGGACTGGGCCAAAACTGAATCAGAATGCTGCAAAAAGTGAATCACTTCTAACTGTAGATGTCTCAAAGCCGCAAATGCCAACAACGACATTGAAGCAAAGTGCTAACGTTGTTTAATTTGTGGTGTCTAAATACTTTTTTTTCTCTATCAATTTGTTTTTTTAAACATATCTGTGTTTATGGTTATGACTGCATACTTTTTTGTCCATATTTTAAAGTACAATGCCAAACGACATTATGTGTGTAAACTAAAAGTGGATAAATGCACTGAACATATATTAAATAACAAAAAAAAGTGTTTGAATATTGGTTACCCCTCACTGTATCTTGCAAGCTAGTTTAAAGATACAGTCCAGATATTGCATGTATTTGTTTATTTGCACCACCAACATGCCTCCTTTAGTTTAATGAAGTATTAACTGTTTATTCAAATTTCAGTGTTTTTTGAACACATAAATTCTTACTGTCCAGAAAAATGGCTTTAAATGACCTTTTTTTCAGGTGGCTTAAGAATTTTGCACAATATTATATCTATGTCTGCATACAGTACTGTGTGTTTGCAATGTGTGTGTATGGATAATGTAAAGTGTATTGCTTTACGTTGGAGGGGCTAGAGCTGATGTAGTAGAAGATCTTGTCTCTGGGGGTGAGGGGGCTGTTGCTTTTGTGGGGAGAGATGTAGATGGAGTGGTTCTGTGAAAGAAGAACTCTGCGTGGAGAGCCAATCCGGAGCAAGGGATATGGACACAGAGGCGGAGTTTCAGCCTGCAAACAGCCAAACATCTTAGGTACATAATATCTTAGGTACATAATATCTTAGGTACATAATATCTGAATCACGATATAAAACCCAGAGAAATCTCTGTATGCAAGGGACAAGACCGAAAACCAGTACTGGCTGGCTGTGGTCTTCGGGCCCCCAGGCAGCACTGCATTAAAAACAGACATGATTCAGTCACTGCATGGGCTCAGAAACACTTCTGAAAACCACTGTGTGTGAACACAGTTCGACGCTGCATCAACAACTGCAAGTTAAAACTTTAAAACACAAAGAAGAAACCATATATAAACAGAATCCAGAAATGCTGCCACCTTCTCTGGGGCTGAGCTATAAGATGGACTGAGATGAAGTGAAAAAGCGTCCTGTGGTCTGACGAATGAAACACAGTTCAAAAGTCAGTATTCATGACGGTATATGGGTGCATTAGTGAAAATGGCATGAGTGACTTGCACATCTATGAAGGCACCATTAATGTTGAACGATATATACAAGTTTTGGAACAACATATGCTGCCATCCAGACGATGTCTTTTCAGTGAAAACCTTGCTTATTTCGGCAAGACAATACCAAACCACATTCTGCATGTGTTACAACAACATGGTTCTGTAGTAAAAGAGTCCAGAGCTTAAATGGCCTGCTTGCAGTCCAGATCTGTCACCCATTGAAAACATCTGCTGCATTACGAAATAAAAAGTATGACAAAGGAGACCCTGAACTGTTGAGCAGCTGAAATCTTAGATCAAGCAAGAATGAGAAAACATTTCACTTTCAAAACCACAGTATTTGGTCTACATAGTTCTCAAACGCTTACAGAGTGTTGTTAAAAGAAGAAGCAACACAACACAGTGGTAAACATGCCCCTGTCCCAACTTTATGAAACATGTTGCTGGCATTAAATTCAAAATGGGCAAATATTTTACAAAAAAACAACATTTCTTTGTTTCAACATTTGATATGTTGTCTTTGTGCTATTTTCAATTACATATAGGGTTTAAATGTTTTGCATGACACTGCATTCTGTTTTCTTTTTACATTTTGCACAGAATCCCTAAGTTTATTTAGAAGAAATGGGGTTATCTGCTACCACAGTAGTTTGGTGATCAATTTGTGCTAGATATAAATGCCAGGTCAATAATAACCCTAGCTATGTACAAACAATTAATGATACACGTCAGCATTTAAGAGTTATAATACTGTTTGATAAATTCTACAGTACTTTTACCCTAAAATATGCTTGTTAAACCCCACTGCTATTAGAGAAACAACAAAAAAAACATTTTACTGTACTGTGTTCTCTAATCCTGTAATGTCTGCTCCTGTTCTGTGTTAAATGTAGCCTTGTCTTCTAGAGGAACTTTATTTTGTTTCACAGTCAGCACTCAACCAACACACAGGTGAGAATTTTGCACCAATTCTCACACAGGTGACAATGTAGTTTGCCTTGACACTAAGAATGACAGTATGAATATGTAGCATGTCTTGAGTGAGTTTAAAGACTCACCCCAGCTTTTGGCAAGTTAGAGGAGTAACGCAGGGCAAAGTGTTTGATCTGTTTGATGTAGATATGATTGTAGAAGCGGATCAGATCACCCCGCTCCTCCTCTTCCTCCTGCTCTGGGGGGGCTCCAGGGATGTGGGTGGGGGTGGAGGGGGCACTGCTGGGCTGCGGAATGGGCAGAGTGCTGCTGGAGCGCATAGACATGGGACTACTGTCACCACTGCCTGCAGCTGGGAGAAAGAGGAGAACACAAATGCACACTTTTCCACTCAAAAGTACATGAACTTAAAGGGCAGGTGAGTGTAGGAGTATACAATACTAACTCTTAGCAGTGTTACTGTTATGGTTTTGGTTATGATTTACTGTTTTTACTGGTTTTATAGTTTACTGGTTTTTCTTCCCACAAAACAAGACTGTCCACAAAATATTATATCATCAAATTAAATTCATAACAAAATATCCTTTTGCTTACAAACACAAATATGCATCAGTTTGATTGTTACCCTGTTCGTGTCCTCCCTCTGATGGAGAAGTCTGTCTGTTGTTGTTTTCACTGTTGCCTGAGTGGCGTCTCTTTCTCCTTGATATCAGAACACTTCTGTACACCTGAAAAAGCATCATCATGCCTTTCATTCTTATCCTCATCACTTATACAGTTTGTCCTCACTTATTTAAAATTGCTATACTTACACTGCTGCTGGCCTGAGGCTGAGATCTGTAGCACTTCATAATGTTCTGGAAGGATTTGTCTTCTTTGGTCACCTTCACAAAAGAAAAGCACAAGAGTGACTCATACGAGACAATTCTCCTCTCCTGAAATGACCTGCTGTTTTATTTTTCAGGAAATAATCTTTAGACGTATTATTCAGTAACTGCTATAAATTATTCGGTTGCTATAAAGAAACCAATATAAAAGTTAGGCAGTTCAGGAAACTGAAGTGTCGGCCTACATTCAAGTCCTTGAACCTGGATGATTAAAAAAACCTTCTCTCACACTAACAAAAAAGCTGAATGAACCTAATTAAGATTAATTAAATGAATTATTTTCATTCAATAATTTCAATTCAATTTGTTTCCATTCCGTCAACAAGAGCATAGTCAGCATATATACACACAGTTACCTCTGTGATGTTGATGTATTTTCAGTTTGTAAGGCAATTTTTGAGCGCACCTTAGTCATGACGTAGATGGCACACATGAGCAACTGATCAAGGTGGCGATCCATCATCAGCTCAGTGCAGTGCACCAGTGAATACTCAAAACACGTCCAGATTTTCCTTCGTAGTTCAGTGCTAATGTCCAGCTTCACACACAGGTCCCGGAGACGCACACTGGCCAGGTGATACACCTGAAATCGAGCACAGGAAGAATGTCATTACATGCTGTGGAGTCTTCTTAACAAGTATTTCTACTTTTGGAAGGATTATAAAATGAGTAGAACATGTAAATCTGTCAAGCTTAAATCTGTATGTTTGAAAAAAGAAAATATTTGAGAAAACATTACGTAAGGACGTGTAATGAATAGTCTTTCAAACCTCTGAACTGAACTGCTAGCACAACATTAAACTCTTAAGTAAACCCTTGCATACCTTGCGGAAGAACAGACTGAGGGAGCCTGTTCTTTGGGTTCTATTCGGAGGTGCTCCCTGAAGAGGACTCTTCTTGCTCTGTTTCCCTGCTGTAGGGCTGCTGTGGGCAGTGCTGGTGGGTGTGGTGGCTGTCAGCTGTTGTGTGTTCAGTGTGCCGGTCAGTGCCTGGGCAGTGAGAGGCTGCAGCCCCGCCCCACTTTGCCCCGTCACACTCACCGGCATAGGGATAAATGTAATCCCTCCGTTCTCATTGGCTATTCCTGCAGAAGTGAGGAGTGGACGGCATTTTAAATGATCATTCAAAGCAATCACACTATTTTGCACTTAACACAGGTTGAAAACAGTTAGAAAGGTAACAATAACAAACCCTATTTACAGTCATAAGGAAAACTACAGATTATTAGGGCTCTTTGTTATTATTACGGTATTTTTTTTACTTTGTACTTACTATATTTGAGGAAAAAAAATTTAATTTGCACTTTTTCCCACTTACCCCAGATGTAGACAATCAGCCAAGACATTTGGTGCTGACATTTTGCTTCTTTAGTGTTGCCCTTGAGCTACAAGGCTAACAATGCAAACAAACACTAGAGGTCAACACCTGTTGTCTAAAATGGCTGCTCCCAGTGTTAAACTACAGGGTGAAATTTTGTTCTGCAAGTTTAGACCTGGATGCGGATTAAGTGTTTTAAGAGAAGTTTGGGGATGTACATATGGAAAAGATTACAGTTAGCAACTATAACCTCATAGCTCTGGCGCTAAACTAAAGAAGCAAAATTTGGACACCAAACATGTCCTTGATGATCAACAACATATGTGGTAAATAAACATAAATGTGTACATTTGATTTATTGTAAAACGATTCCTTTAATATGACTTATTATATAAAATTATTAAATTATCACTTATAATACTGTACTTGCAATTCTAAAATTTACCCAGAACAGTACATCAGTAGTTCACCTCACCTTGCACAGGGATGGTGACCGTCTGACCATTGTTAGCTGTAACAGTAGCTGTTGCCATAGTGACCACGGTCTGGCCGGCAGGTATGGTGCTGACAAGGGGGGCCTGGGTGACCCGACCAGACGTAGCGGGGTCAGAGGTTGTGTCGGTGTCCACAAAGAGGCGTCTACAAACCGTACCTGTAGGCGGGGAGCTATAGCGCTCGTGCAGAGTAGTGGTAGAGGGGAACACTGCTAAGGCAATAAGGTGAAAAAATACTCATTAGAAACTACATAAAATCAGAGAAACCAAACTCTCAGACACAAATATCACAGGAGTCCTTGTTTAAAGTTCCTCATTCACTCTGACTGAGGTAATGTGTCTTCAGTGAGCTAAAGTAAATTGTGTCACAGTTTTTTTTTACCTTTTCCTGCTCCTGCAGTGTTTGCACTGAGCTCATTATTTTTGGGGCTCTGAGGGTTGCTGCCAGATCCATCTTCCAGATACTGCGGGGGCATTACCTATTAAGCGTATACAGCCACAAAAAACACACATTATTATTATCTCATATTATCAGATTTGCAATAAAGATAAAAATGTGCTGGTAACCCTTAAAAGTTACAGTTTTTGCTAACGATGAAAGCATGATGTAATCTTATATAATTCTTTGTCGCTCTTAGCAACAAGTAGAGAAAGTTGGTCAAAAATGAGAATTTTAAACTCTCAATCAATGCCACATTAACTAAGCTCTAAGGAAATGTTTGATCATCACAAAGTTGCATAGTAGTAAATAACTTTTAAATCATTTAAAACAATACATTTCTAATGATTAAAAAGTGCTTTTATGCAGCCAAGGAAATGCTTAATATTTCAATATAATTTATGAGTTATGAGTATCACATTACTATATCTTTATTAATTATTATTAATGTTTAGATTTCTGCAATTCAAAAGAATGATTGATTAATTCCTGAACTAAATGATTTATAATTCAAATGGTAGCACTCCATGTAATTATTACAGCAGCAGTAACAGTCATTAACAAGAGATAAGATAATGATTAAGTTGCTGTTTTTAGGGCCTGTTATTATAAAGTGTTACCGAAATGAGTTGGAACCTGTCAATACAGAACGTAAATGGAATTTAAATGTAATGTTATGTAATTTAATTACACAAATATTTACATTCATTTATTTACATAACATAATGTATAGCCAAAAGACAATAATGGTGGTAGTTGTGTAAGGGCATTAATGAATGCGGTTAGAAACAGGTGTTGTGTCTGACCTCCTGGCAGGAAGGCACGTGGTTCTTGGCCCCTTTGATGTTGTCCCAGAGTGGGGAAGTCTCTTTCCAGGCCAGACTCTCCAGCACCTGCTCCTCCACATGGTTCAGATGCTTCACCACCTCTCTGAACAGACCCTCCTCCGCCCGAACCAGCACCTCAATCACCTGAGACAGGACGAGAGGGAAAGAGACAAAGAGGTTACTAATGTTTCCATCAGTACTGCCACATCACGAAAAATATAAACAGCAAGAGAGGATGTGTTACTGTAGCCATGATTACAGTTTTCGGCAGTACTGTCATGGTGTAAAACTATATAAACAGCAAGACAGGATACGTTACACTGTTTCTAGCACACCACCTGAGTGGTATGGTTGGTTACCTTATAGAAGTGGTACGGGGGGATGTCAAAGACTTGCAGCACCTGCTGAAACTCGCCAGGTGGGCGGTAGGAAAAGATCACAATCTCCAAGCAGCAGGCTATCAGAGAACGATGTAACATGTCTTGTTCTAGAATACACTGGAAAAGATTTTTCCACTTAGTTTCAGTTGATTCATAGATGAATCAGCTGGAAAGGCAAAGTGCAGTATTATGATGGAAAATCATGAATGAACATTTATGAAAACACAGGAAGTGTAACAGCCATTGAATATATGACAGAACAAATGAGTGAAATCTCACAGAGAGGTCACTGTCACCAAGTCTCCTCTTCTCCTGGTCAATGATTCCCTCCAGTGTTTTATAGTATAGAGCCTCAGCCAGGCAAAAGTATTTCAGAGCAATATCTAAAAAATATGAATACAAGGGCAAATATTTCAGTGTAAAGTTTTGGAATATCCAGCACTTACACTTCCATTAAAAAGTTTGAAAACACATAATTCATATTAATATTTTAATCATATTAATATTTTTTGTTGTTTTGCATACAAATAAAAGATGAGGTGGGGAGAATGAGATCCCATCCTATGAAATCTTTTCAGGTTTCGCACCTCTTGCCAGACCTCTGTTCTCCTCCTCTTTTGCTTCATAGTTCTGGAGGAAAGTGTCAGACATCTCCTTCAGTCTGGCTGCAATGGCCTCACTGGGGTCCCTTGCACATGCCCTGTGTTTCAGAGTTTAGAAATTTAGTCTAAACTGCAGAACTTCAACAAGACATGACATAATATTTAAGCGACCCATTAGAGTTAAAGCCCCAGTCAGCAATAGCCAAAACTACTATGACAAACTCTTTGACCAGCAACAAGTCTATGTCCTCAAAACTGCAGCAATATTTACTTTACTCTGTTTGTAAACAGAACTAGCGTGTGGCAGGCGTGGCTCTTCCAAGGCAATTCCTGTCTGGGGTTTTAAAGATGTGCAAGCCAGAATGCAGGTAAGTGTTTTATGTATTACTTAAGTATCTCTCTGAGTCTCAGACTCGGTCTGTGCTTGAGTCCAGCCAAGAGGCTATGCAGACGCCCCACGCCCTGCATTGCCATGGAAACCGGAGTGCCGACTCCACTGTCCTGTATGTATTTGCGGCCGGTCAGTGGAGTGGATACTTTCAGGGCGGATGACTGTGAATCAGACATACAGATTAGGGTCATTTTAAAAAGATGCAAAAAATCATTATGTCTTTATGCATCTGTGAGAAAACACAATGACTATGTCAATAACAGGAGTTAGAATGTTGTATAAAGAACAAAATAAAAGGTTTTTGCTTTAAATGTTCCCAATGTTTCCAATAATATCAAAAGTATAGTGTAATTTCATATTAAATATTTCTCACTCATAGCTCAAAATCATGGACTCTAAACTTTTAGTTAATAACAGATCAACATTTGTGGGTAGTGGATGAGATTTTGTTTTTACATTTTATGTCATTTACATAAAGGAAGTAAAAAAAAATAGAAAAAACAGAAAAAAACTGGAGTGCAGGCTTAACTTTGTTTATACAGAATGTAAATCCAGTGTAAAGTAATTCCTTACATAGCTATGTTATGACTCATGTAATTGTGTTGTTACACTGAACTAGTACAGCAACATGACAGAAATAGCTATTAGCTTCTAATGGCTCGAGGAAGTGTACTTTCTCCAAATAACCTTTGAAACAGTTTCATGTTCTTTGCAAAGGCAGCAGTGTTTATGTGCATTAGGTATGTATTAAACAGATTTCATTCTGTGTGTAGTGATGTGATGTTTGCGCGGTCTTACAGTCAGAGAGTTGTACAGAAGGTTGGCAGGACGCTCCTGGTTTTCTATTCCCTCACACAGACATGGTCCCGGTGTACCAATGTCCTCTTTTGCACCTTCTCCCAGGAATATTCTCTCATCCAGAGCACCTGATGATAGAACGTGCTCCTCATACACTCGGTTCAAAGATGCACTGAGGGATACACACACAAAGGTTTGACTGAAAAACATAGTCATGCTGTCAGCCAGTTCATTATTTACACCCTGTGGCAACTTCAAAAGTGAGCTTGTTGATACTGTGATGTAAGGATAAGGCACCAATCACACCCTGAAGGTCATTTTTTTCTTTCTGTACTTCCAGACACTTACAGACTGTCTCCAAAATTAACAGGATCCAAGAATCCAGTCAGTGTCTCTTCTTTTCCCTTTAAAATCTGTAAAAACATAAGAAATATTTTGAGGAAGTGATTGTAATGTATTTTGCAAATACAACTGCACAAACTGTAAACGCTGTAAATATGTAGCTGTAAAATATGAGTAATTCACTGGCAGCAGTTTCTTCAGCATAGTGTTGTGTATTTGAATTTGTATATTGTTGAATTTGTATTTACAAACTGTGTGTTTTTACAGTACAGTGTTGTTTACATTTGCATACAGATGCACTGTACTATAATTACTATTTTCAGAGTATCAGCAAAATATTGCATGCTATTGAATTTCAGGTAAATATAGTTATTTAATATCATCAGTATGATCATGCTATTAACTGTAATAGCATTAAATTAGTGTTTAGCAAAAACACCTCAAACACAAGACATAACAGCAGTTACACATGCTTATGCCACGCTTATACCAGTCTTAAATTCACAAAGTTGACTGTAACCCAATGCCTGTTTACATATAACACTACATGATGAATGAAAACATAAAATGAATCATTCCATACAGGAATATCCTGCATTTGAGGAATGGTGTAGATCACTGCAGTGTTTCCACTGTAAATTTACAGCAATGTTTTTTTTTTCTGTGTCGAAATCAGAACTGTTTCTAAGTGTTATATATGTAGTAACTAATAAATTACATGTTTGGCATGGTCACTCACTTTGCGTTCAAATAGTCTCTTGATGAAGGGCTTCCAGAAGTGCTCCTTCACTCCTTTGGCCTCCAGCACCAGACCATCATGTAGTTCACACAGCTGCTCTATGAAGCATAGAGGACTACTAGGCTTGTAGTCCTTGCTGCTGAAGTCTTCTGGAAGACCTGTACACACAAACACACACACAAGCTGCTCTTAGAAACAAAGCTGACATGGCAGAAGCATCATAAAAGAGAATTATCACTACCGGAAGAAAAAACAATTAGACTCACAAATATAGTAAAACATTTTGTGTGTGTGTGTCTTTGTCTGCAGTGTACCTTTGAAGGAGGGGTTGAGCAGATCTTTACGGTTGGAGCATAATAGAGAGTTGGAGTAGACCAGATCAAGTGCACACAGCAGCAGGTGATAGGAGTTCACAAGGTCATCACTGATCATAGGAAAGTTGCCTTAAGGGAGAAATGAGAGAAACAAGGATTGCTACTATATACAGTACACAGTGTTTGGAACTCAAACATTGCTGTACCTGATTTACTCAGACCAGCAGGACACAGACTACCAGGCTACTAACATGTCGCTGCTGTGCTGAGAACAGTCCACCATCCAAATAATATTTGGTCAGAGGCAACTCAATTGGTGGACATTGTAGAGGGCGGCATATTGTGCAGCAATAGACAGGCTATAGTCAGTGATTCTAAACCTACAAAGTGCACCTACAGTTTGAACACCCCCTGTCATACTACATCTTTTGTTGACTTCCTAATTGAAGATAAGTAATCACATCCTTTACAAGGAACATACTTAAATATGGCCTTTTTTGCAGATTTTAGTGTGCAAGTTCTATTTTGGCCAAGATTAACATATTAGAGAAAAATTTAACACAAAAAATAAAAGTGCCAAAACTTTGGGAACAAACTTTTGCATATAACTGTATATGATAGGTATACCATATAAAATGCAACTCAGTGTACACAGACTAACTCTCAGTGTATGATATAAAAGATTCAGAAGAATAAAAATGGTGCTAAAGCATCATACTGGACCTTGGGAAGGTCTTCCATCAACAGCACAATCCTACCAGGCACCATCTGGCCTGGCCACACATTAAGCCCTGCCACTGTGAGCTGAAACATGCTTCACAACAGCCTCCCCACACCACACACAGACTGTATATCAGCCAGACAGCAGTCTAGATCAACTCACAAAAACAGGAAAAGTCTGCAGAGGAGAAAGCTGCACTGCTAGGAGCCGCGGTGTAGATTTATTCCTTCCTGTTTAATCAATTTGAAGAGGAACCCGCACACTTGGCACGGCTGCAGGGCCCAGACAACAATCACCAGGGTGTTACCAATAAAATGATGACTATTTAGACCAGAAAGCCTCCCTTGCCTCCCTTAGCCTTTTAAGTGTGTTGGACACACTCCTCAGATTCATGTTAGAGGAGATTATAAGAGGAGATTGTAACGTCTGTACAGATATAACCGCTGATATGCTGAACTACACCTTAATATAGCAACGTATCAACCCCTCTGTATTAACCTATAAAACTTTACACACTGAAAACATCTTCAGAGTGCAGTATATGCCACTATATTCATTCTAATCAAATATGATTATGCATGTTAAGTGCATGTGCCCGCTTTAGTTCCTCACTGTTGTAACTGCTTCAGTTACATATTAGTTTCAGAGCAGTAAATGTTACCAAATAACATTTAGTGGTTACTGAATATTAAGTCTTAAGATTAATAAATGAATAATAAATCTGCATTTTAAGAGGTTAACATTAGAGCAAGACTTTGCTTATATGAAACAGGCTCGATGGAAAGTGTTTGCAAAGTTCTAAATAACATAAAATTCTCATTCAAGTTCAGCAATACAGGATGTACTGTACTTACAAGATCCTCAAAGGAGTCCACAAGGAAAGCAACAAGCTGGACTTTGAAGCCTTCTGCAGAACAATCTCTACACCATGACAGCCAAACGAGGGAGATTTAAACCCAGTGAAGTAAAGGGAGAGCCATCCCACTGGCCCTGTGCAGACCATAGGGCTACTCAAATACAGACAAGTCCTGACTTGTCATCTCCCCTGGTTGCTATGATAAGCAGTGCATGCTGCACATGCCCGGAAATAATTGTCTCAGTCGGTGTGCTTTTTTCCCCTGCTGCTCATGCTCTGTACTCTCTCTAAATACAACCAAGGCATGCAGCTGTCAAGCTCTACTGTTCTGCAGCATCATCCACCTACATTTTATGCTTAACATGCTCTATGACTGTATGATTCTTGTGCATTAATCCAGCAACGTTTCCATGTTGTTTGCTTTCATATTTGCTTAGCAGTCAAGCCCAGTGCATTTTCTTTTCTACTGCGGTTGTATGCACCACTGAGCATATTCATTAACCTCTGCCCGGTTCATTGCTTCAAACGAGTCTGATAATTCCACGTTGCTTAAAGGGTTTTTATTCAAAACAATCCAGCAAAGACAAATCTCTCAAACTCTTACACAATGCTCAAGAGCCTATTTCACACAATGGTTATGCAAATACAGTGCATAGAAAAAAAATCAATGCAGTGGGTCAGTGCATGTGTGTGCCCCCTGTGGCTGCTTGCTGATGCAGACAAGCCTGCACAGGCCCTAATAATGATGGTGATCATGTGACCAAGCCCTAATTCTTGTCAGCGAATAGGAACAATCCCTAAACTCAAGCCACTCCATGGCTAATGACCCACTCAGCTTTTGAGAGACCTCTACCGAGGAACAAATCCAATAAACATTGCCTTCTTCCATTTCCTCACACCTCAGCCCCTATTTTCTCTTATATAACCTGCACCTCTGAATTTTATTCAAGCTTTTACTCTCACACAACTTCTCTGATTTCATATGCCATCCAGCATGCATGAGCCTCAATGCAGTAACCACGTTTTGAAGATTAAAATTGAAAAGCCCCTCTATGATTAACTTACTTTGATTTTTTGACTCTTTATATGATTTTTTACTTTTTTGCTTACAAAAGCAAATATAATGATAATTTTCTTAATCATTTACTTTCTTTCTTTCTTTATTTATTTTTTTGCCCAATTTCTCCTCCAATTTAGTCAAGGCCAATGCCCCTGCTAGCTCGGTCTTCCCCATCACACAATGCTACCAAGCTGGGAGAGTTGAGACACTATGAAGCCCCACCGCATCTTTTTAAACTGCCCCTTAAGGTCAACATGGAGAACACTAACTGCCAATTCTGTTATGTAAACTAACAGACACCCAGTTGGCTATTAGCAAACTAGGTGATGGGCAGAGGAAAGGTCATCCTACCAACCCAGAGAGAGTAAGGCCAATTATGGTCTCTTAGAGTTCTGGCCACAGATGGCTGTGACATTGCCAGGGATCAAACTTGCAATTTCCCGATGATAGGGCCTATATTGTACATTTTAATGTATTTTATTTTATTTATAACTACTTTACAAACACTCTGTATACCTTAGAACTAAACAGGCTATTTTTGTTACTGTACCTTTAAGACTGATATATGTAAAAGAGCTCTATTCAAATTGGCTACCCTGGATTGTGCCTCATTGAAAAAGCAGTCCAGGCTGAAACATTCCTTTTAACTTCAGTGTGAATGGGCAGGGCTAAACTGCTGTAGGCATTTTTTTCCATGAAATGGGCCTATTAATTAAATTCAATTAAAAGCAGTTGCAATATCCTCACAGCTTAAGCTGAAATATACTGAAAAAAGTGATGCACTGAATTTACCTCATTCAAATGTGTACATGTACATTACGTTTACATTAATAAAATATGTTCCATCAAGACAATTTCAGTTTACTTACTTTTTCCAATAATTGTGTTGTATACTTTATTAACGTACACATTTGAATTAAGCAACTTCAATGCATCACTTTTTTCAGTATATAGGCACAGCTCCAGGAGCTTTGTTTCTCACCTTTCGCATGTACAAACAGGACCCAGCAGAAGTGGAACACCTCCGCCACAGTGCAGGGATGCCGCCTGAGGACACAGGTAACAGCAGTTAACTCAGTCTTATGATAAGAACAGCAAGCAGGAGGACATGCAGTTTATATAGGTAGGTGCAAGGACAGAGAAGATCACACACAGTCACCTACTTCATTTACAACACATCGTCCCGACTGTTTCAGGATATTTCTAAAACACACTTTCAGGATATTTCTGAGATACACTCATATATCAGGGTTTATACCAGGCTTTATGTCAGTAATAAGGGATGTGCAGCTGTGATTAAAAAATAAAATCACCTTCAAATAAAAATAAATAATGTTTTATTGACTGTATTGCTATTATTAGTAAGGTCAATTATTAACTACTACCAGTGACTTTTGACCTTTCCTGCTTTGTAACTCTTGATGTCAGTAAAAGTTACCCATTAGCTGACAATACAAGCATATACAGAAAAAGAGTAAAATAAAGGCGACAAAGTTCAACTTTACACTAGGAACTCACCTCTGTTTCCTGCTTCTGTGAGCTCTAGGTGGTTCTTCAGATGGGGTTTTAAATATGTCTTTGAAAATGGGAACATATTTCTTAAAAATGACAGCTGTCACAGTGAAGTTCCTCTCCAGCTTTTCTGTGCTCTGCCGGAATTCCTTTGGCAAGTTGGCCATATCCTGCCATTTCTTCATTTTTCTGAAAAACTCTATCAAGCTACAGGGAGAGCAAGCCATAGTTATTTAAGTGTTCATTACCAAATATACATTTTTAAAGTATACTACAGAGAAATCTCCAGGATTTGCTATACCATCACACTTTTATCTGCCAGCTGACAGTGAACTACACATCTATAAGGACATGAGCCTATGTTGTCACTGTTGGAACAAAACCTCATATCTCCAACAAATTAACTTAAGAGGAGAAGGAGAAAACATTCTTAACTTTTAATGTAACTTAATGTAACAAGACTTTATTTCACCTAATTCTAGACCAGTGTTTTTAAATAATGTATAAAAAAAAATGGAAATACAAGGTTTTGTTCCAACAGTAACTATATGTACTTGTGTAACTCATAGGGCTTATTTTATTGCTGGTTGCAGCTAAACAAACATTACATGTTGTCAGATTTATATTTAAAATCTGTCATTTATATCATATAGACTAAAAAACACAATATAGAGAATGACATTAGGAGATATTATATGCATATTTTGTATTTGATACTACTTTATTACAGCAATACCTTTTACACCAGTAATAAATATGTTATAAGGTAAAGAGTACTTTTGTGTCCCACAATCTAAAATACTTAAAATGTATTGTTATGTAAGCTTATTGTTTCAATTTAAACACTCTGAAGCCATAATCTGATGTTAAAATCTGATCTTAATCATATTGCAGCTGTATGTGCATTGTTATGTGCTTATTTCATGCAAGTGTGCATATTGATTTTTCTACACCTTTGGTAAATGCTAATAATGAATAGGGTTACAGTGTCAAATATGAATGGTTTGCTGACCTCTGTTCTGAACAGCGCAGAATCCGTGTTAGAGACACGTAGTTTCCTTCAGCTGTGCCTTTACCTACAGTGGGCACAGCCGTCCTGCAGGCCACATACAAGGCACACGCCAGCCAGTGTAATTCACTACCCTAAGACGGGGAGAGAGAGAAAGAGAGAAAGGGGTGTAATGGGGGATGGGTATGGGGCACCAGGTAAGCTCTACACCATAACAGGATATAGAAATGTAAAAAGAATAAAAGAAAATAGAAGCACAGAAAAGAACAAAACGTCTCCTCTTAGTGGATCACACTAGACATCTAGTACCAGTCGTCTGTTTTATGTTTCATGGATTTAGTGAATAGAAAATGATACAGAGTTAGTATTTAGTCTAGTTTACAGTATCCAGTTTTTACACTTATCTTTTAAACAACATAGATCCCCTAAAAATAGATCTGCTCTGCTCAATGTGCTGGGAGAGATAAGGCCTATTGAATAACAAGCAGAGCTCATCTCTTAACCCGGCCCCTTAACCCCGTTAACCCCACAACCAAAATATGGGGCTTACTCGCAAACGCTGGGCGCTTCACTGGTTCCAAACGTTAGAAACGCACAAATTATCTACGTACACCCAAACCGTGTGCGGCAGCGGAGGTAAGCAGGCAGAAGTAGCTTACTGTCTTACCTCTAGAGTGTAGTTTTTGCTGATATTCTCAAAGCTCCTCCATGCTCCGTTACTCGCCTCCTCGTCCATATTCAGGGCTCGACACAGATCCTCAAACGCCAGCCTTGTTTTCTGCATAGCGTCTTCCTCCTCGTTCATTTTCACGCAGCTGCACGATCAGACTAGACACCTTCCACTCTTACCGCTTCTGACTACGTAAGGAAAGCAAACTGCAGCAAAATGCAACACGCAGCAGCAAAATATAGCATTTAGGCCACTCTGATTAATCCCGAATCAAGTTATTTCAGTGCTGTACGGCAGACTGTACAGTTCTGCACAGTGCAGCCATTTAAATGTCCTTTGACTGACAGCTACTAGCTTGCGTTCTTAACTTACGCTGAGTGCGTATTGTGAGTTCCCGGGGATTGAGATTCGCCCTTATTTTGCGTAAGTGTATACTGGAATAGTGAAATACGTATAAAGACTCGTAACACGCAGAAATGATGTGACCGCCCACTTTTCACGGTCCAAATGTCATTACTGCCGTGCCAGTCCCCCTGTTTTCCAACTTTGAGTAAAGTGCTGTCCAAAACGGCAATTTAAATGGTCAGAGGAGTCGATTTATCCATATAAACTCACCCTTACCAAAAAAGGACCTAATTTCTGCCTTAGACATGTCGTACCGCACGATGTGGGTGCCTTGCGAGACAACTGTTTTGGAATGGCACTGTAATCACAACAGTATGTGCTTAATTTGCACCTCACATAGGAACATGGATTCAATAGATTATTCTGCTATCTAGTAATCCTTTTAGCTCTTTCGAGAAAAGAAGATTTAGACTTTCTTTTCCTAGTCTTTGAGCAACAGCGCCTGGAACTACTTTTCCCATAATGCCTTTTCAGGAAGTGGTTTAGGAACCGGGAACAGCAGCGAGTTGTTTGTTAGCAACAGTCGCTGTGGATGTCTGAAAATGTGTCAGTGAACGGCTGTCTGTGCAGGTTTGTTAGCCTCTACATTGCGTACAGTTGTGTACAAGGGCGACAGAGCATATTTACGGTTATCTTATCAACGAATAGAATAAAATTTGCATATCATGTGAAGTTGCTCTAATATCATTGTCAGTCAGTATTATTGTAGAGGGGTGTGATCTGCCTTAGCAAAAACTAACCTAGGGTTAGCTAGAGAGCTAATCCAAAGGATAAAGAGCATCTCTGGTTTGCTACGTGAACATCATTGCTTATTAGGCTTTATTTTACTGGTTTAACGTTAAATGATTCACCTTCAGCTGTGAATTACCTTAGTGGCCTGTATTTACGTCTAAAAAGCATCTAGCGTAGATAATTAGGTTCTTCATAGTAGCATTACTAAATAAAGATGCTTTGCTAAAAGTAAGTTATAAGTATAATGCTGTTCTAAATGGTTGTAAAGCTTTAAGTTATGCTTTCAGACTGTGTGAAGCATGTCTGCTCTGACGTTAGCTGACGATACTGCTGGTGACATCCCTGTGAGGGACATCACTTTAAACCTCGCCGGAGCAGGCATACCCGTTTTGGAGAAAGGTAAAAAAAATCGATAAATTGAAAGTTTGTTTTGGGTTCATGAGACAGTGTAATTCAAAAAGACTGTGATTTGAAAATGTTAAATACAAAGCACAGTATAACTAAAATAAAATGAAATTTGAAAACATCAAGTTACAAAATTCTGTCCACAGAGTCACTTCTTTCCCAAAATGCCCGAGCCAGACAAGCTGTGGCCAAAGTCAGTAGAGAAGAGCTGGAGGATCGCTACCTGCGTTTGCAGGAGGAAAACCTCCTACTCAAGCAGCACACACACAAACAAGAGGACAAGATCAAGAGGCATTTATTAATTTGTTTAGTCCATTACTTGTTGATTTCCTTATTTTAATTACTTTGGATAAGTTAAGTCATGCTAAATCAGTTGATTGCTTTGAGAGTTGTTCTTGGTTGTTTTTGTGTTCATCCAGGATGGCCACCAAGCTGATCCGCTTGGTGAAGGACCGTAAGCGGGTGGAGCAGGTGTCTTCAGCGGGCCGTGTGGTTGGAGGTCGGGATGTTGAGATGGAAGAGATGATTGAGGAGCTACAGGAGAAAGTCCAAGAGCTGGAGAAACAAAATGAGGGGCTCAAGCAGCGTCTGCTGACGGCAAAGCAGCAACTTCAGACCCAGAGCCGCAGACCAACGGCCTACAGCCACATCCAATCTCGAATCAATTCTGGCCTCCGCAGACTTAGAGAAGACACACCTGTGTCGCCTCAGCGGCCATTAACACCAAGAGGAGGTATAATGGACTGCCTCTCACTGTGATATGTTTTGTCAGACACTTATGAAGGAGATATTAACGTGAATCATGTTTCATCAGTAGGATCCAGACACGTGGAGGGGGAAATGAGCAGCAGGCCACCACAGGGGCTCTTACCCCGCTATGGGCACAGTCTGCTGGATGAGGCTCGCTCGGAGATCCGCAATCTGTACGTACTCCGAACAGTTCTTCACTCAGCAGTCATCAGAAACTTCTTTTCATACTACAGTATGCAAACTGAACATGACTGACAGTTTATAATTACCTTCTTTTCTCTGAAGGGAGAATGTGATAGAAAACCAGAGGGCTCAGATGGAAGAGATGGAGAGGTCAGCAGAGATGTTGAGGGACCAGCTGAGGAGTAAAGAGAGAGAGTATGAGGAATCTCTCCTTCAGCTTAGAGAGCAGCAGGCCAGCGGCCAAAGGTATCTGACTGTTTTTATATATGCTAGTGTTTGCAATCACTATTCAAAAGTTTGGAATCAGTGTTTTCAATAATATAAAACCAATGTGGTACCAGATAAGTGTATTAAATGATTATAATATGCTAATTCTGTGCAATTTCATAACCTGTAAATAATTAGTAGGACTCTAGGAAGCTGTAAATAAAAATTAAGGAATTTAAGATGTATCTAGACTGATTAACAGAGCTGTGGATGATTTTAAAATTACTGAGAAAGCTGTACAACTTACAGAATTAAGTTAGAATAAAATTAATATTCAGAATTTATCATATGTCAAGAGTGGAGGTGAAGTTACATATCTTATTGATGAGAAATACATATAAGATTCTTGAAATATTGAATAAAACATTTTGGACAGATAGTTTGTAATATTCACTGACCGGTTACTTCATTACGTTCACCTCCTTGTACACTTTTTGTCCACTTTATCAGCTTTACTTACCATATAGATGCACTTTGTAGTTCTATAATTACAGACTGTAGTTTATCTGTTTCTCTGCATAATTTGTTAGTCCCCTTTCACCCTGTTCTTTAATGGTCAGGACCACCACTTTATTATTTGGATGGTGGATCCTTCTCAGCACTGCAGTGACACTTACGTGGCGGCGTATTAGTTTGTGTTGCGCTGGTACGAGTGGATCAGACACAGTAGTTTTGCTGAAATTGTAAACACTATGTCCACTCACTGTCCACTCTATTAGACACACCTACTGTGTTGGTCCACCTTGTAGATATAAAGTCAGAGACAGTAGCTCATCCGTTGCTGCACAGTTTGTGTTAGTCATCCTCTCCTCCTTCGTCAGTGGTCACAGGATGCTGTTGGCTGGATATGTTTGGTTGGTGGACTATTCTCAGTCCAGCAGCGACACTGAGTTGCTTAAAAAAAACTTCAGCAACTCTGCTGTGTCTGATCCACTCAGACCAGCGCAAAATGCCACCACCAGGTCAGTGTCACTGAAGTGCTAAGAATGATCCCATGTAATACCTGCTCTGTGGTGGTCCTGTGGGTGTCCTGACCATTGAAGAACAGGGTAAAAGAGGGCTAACAAATTATGCAGAGAAACAGAATGACTACAGTCTGTACTTGTAGAACTAAAGACTGTGCCTGAATGGTAAGTTGAGCTGCTAAAAAGGACAATGAATGCAGATACAAGGTAGGTGTTCTTAAGTGGCTAGTTGGCGTATACGTCCACATTGTATAAGTTGTTATTATTATATATAAAATAATAAAAATAGTAAATATAGCAAATGATTCCAAACTTTTCAATGGTAGTGGATTTGCACTGATGTAGTACCATACATAGTGGGTGTGTCTCAAAACCTAGTGAGCTCTCTAAGTAGCCGCTGTCTACATAGGCAGCTGCCTTAGTAGGCAGCGTTCCAACCGTCATCTAGGCAGATAAATGAGACACTCTAGTTAGACAGCAGTGACGTCGCCGCTTGTTCCCGCCCACTGCATGAGACCGGCGTTTACTTACCTCAGCCGTCAGAATCACATTTAGCCAACATGGATCCTGCTTTGGCAATTTATATAGCGATTTTAATTGTATTTGCTCTGATTGAAACAGCAAAATAGACAATAGTTGTGGTCAAACGTGGAAAGTATAGGCTATTTGTGCACCTTTATGACTAGAAAACAGATAAATACCCCAGAAAATCAGAATAACTCACATTAGAAGATGACGTTACTGCTTGGTGAAGCGCTTCTGCCCATCTTCAAACAAAAGTTGCGCTGCGCTGCGCTGCATCGCGGGATTGCCTCAGCGGCTGAGGAAACATCCGATGCTCTCTCGATATTGGGCCAAAATGAGAGACTTCAGTAGTCAGCATATTTGAGATATCTAAGAATTGGGACAGCCTTCTTGTCGGGAGCGCGCATATTGTGGCGTAAAATGCTGTCTATGTAGAGAGCTCACTAGGTTTTGAGACACACCCATAATATACATATTTGTAGCTGGGGGATTTTAATCCTTCATGAGAACAGCGTGTGTAAACTCTGGCAAAGAGCATCTCCAAACAATGTATTGAAAATATGTGCAGGTCAACCATCAAAGACAATGTGGAGATGATAAAGCTGCAAAAACAACTGTCTGAGAAAGGAAATGCATTCACTGTGCTGGAGGGAAGATTCCTTCAGCTACAAGAGGTAACAGTGAAATATAATCATACGGATATGTTAGACCTTTACGTGCAAGAGCAAAGAGAGGAAGAAGACAAGCCATATCGATTCAAATGGTGTGGCTAGATGGAAATAATCAAGAATAGTAGGAGTAGACACTCTGTCTTACTATTGTTCTTTGTGCCATGATGTCACCAGAGGGATGTTAATGCATAGCATAGAAAGGGCCTAACATTCTGCTTTAATAAGAGGGGGAACATCCAGCTCCTTCCTTTATCTCTATGGGCACCACTTTAATAAAATCATAGCAGTCTCATGTAGAAGTGAAGCATTATCACAAAATGAACCATCATGCTTGTTTCTGTTGGTAGAGCTTGGGTTTAGTGCTAAGGATGATCAGATGTTCACTTAATTGTTCACTTAATTATTGCAGTACTCCATTCATGAACTCTGTATGATATTCTGTATAGAGCCAGAAGACCCTAAAAGCCAGCCATGAGGCAGCAATGGCCAAAGTGGATGAGCTCACTGGACAGCTGAAAGAGGAGAGGCTGAGGAGCCTAGGGCTGGAGAGCCACCTGCACACCAAAACACTGGAAGAGAGGAGGACTCGCGAGGTTGTGATTTTGGACTTTGATGGTTCCCAGCTTAGTATCTCCATTTCAGGCTGAGGTTAATGTGAATGTCATGGTTTGCTGACTGTATAATTTTCTTTACTTAGTTGCTTGAGCGAATTCAGGATTTGGAGAAGGAGAGAGACTTGCTCAAAGAGAACTGTGATAAGTTGGTGAATAGGTGAGTAAATAGTTTCACCAAAAAAAAAGAACTGCACAAAAATGTGAAAGGCCCCCCTGTAAAACCTATGTTTGTTATTGCCTTAGTGCCTTTGATGTAAGTCAAGAACAAAAGTGGAAGACAAGAGAACAGCAGCTCAAACTGCAGATTGCCCAGTTGGAGATGGCGCTGAAATCTGATCTCAATGATAAAAACCAAATTTTGGATAAGATTAAGGCAGAGAGAGGTACTAAGCTCACGTTTCTGTTCTTTTCTGGAGAACCTCTGCCTGAGGGCATAGTAAACACAATACAGCATGTTTTTTCAGTTTCCAGTGTGCAGCTCTTTTCATACCTGTAAATTTTCTATTCAAGATTTGAATGAGAATTTGATGCAAGAGAACAAAGAACTTCAGCTTCGCTATCTGGAACAAAAGCAACAATTAGATGAAATAAAAGATCGTATGAAGTTCTTTACCAAGGTAAGTTTGAATTTTTTTTTTTATTTAGAAAAGGTGCATTTAAGCATTCACTATTCATGTTGTAACTACTGTAATTGTATTTTATAGGAGAGTGAAATAGATGCTTCTGAACTCAGTGAAGCACTGATGCTCATAAAGGTAAATGGGCATGAGCTCACTGGATCTCACTTGGCATCATAGTAAAAGTGTGGAAGATGAAAGAGGGTGATGAGTCAAGTAGTTTAAGCTGATGATGAGGACAAATGGAAGTTGTGGCAAAAAGAAGACTGAAGTTAAGATTCGATTTAGTTGTTTATCTTTGAATTCCAGTGAAAGTGCAGGAACGGTTGATATTGGAGCTACTGGAGAATCCTATGTATGTTTGTATGAATGTTTCCTAGAACTGAATAAGAGGACAATGTACATTTACATATAAATTACATATCAAGTAAGATATGCATTATCTTACTAGATATATATTACATATATATTTAGTAAGATAATACAAATACTATGTCAACGCTAAGCGCGGAAACAGTAGCCAGCTAGAGACGATGGGCTAATAGCTAACTGGCATTGATAAGTTAATTATTTTCTATAAAATTCAGTGTAATGTTGGTCAGTGGAGCTAACATTAATAGCGTATGATCATCCTGGCATGCTTACAACAAAAATAAGAGAAGAAAAGTGAAAACATGAAGCTGGTTTTGCATGGTGAAAATTAAAGGCGTCTTTAGTTGCTTAAAACTTACCTAAAAATCATTTTGAGTTGCAATGTAAAGCATCTTGCAACTCCAAACTCAGGAGCAACATCTCAACATTGTGAAAAACGTTTCATGGTACAGCTAATCAAAACGGCAAAAACTCCTCACGTGATTGTGCCGAACAACATACTTTCAAACAACTGATTTTCCTGGATTAAGGGTCATGGCTGATTGAAAATCAGATCCTCTTGACTGACTTGTGTAAGGTTCTTGGTTTTTCATTTTGTCAGTTAGCTAGCTACATGAGTCATGACAGCAAACAAACTGTTTTTTAAAGGTAATGTAAATGGTCATTTTAGAGGAGAGGGCAAAAACTTTCTTAACTTTCAATGCAAGTTAATGTAAAGAAATTTTATTCAAAGCAATTCAGAGCATTTCTGTTAGGCCAACACAGAGCATTTCTGTGTTACATTTTAACACAATGTAATGGAGAGCTGCTAAGCTCAAATTATACAGAAAACTAAAAATCTCAAAAAATGAACCATAACAAAAAAGAGCAATGCAAAGAAAAGCAATGACACCTGGAAAAAGTATACAAATACAACCATTTGCATGAATGTTTCCCTATTTAAAGCCAGCCTATGATAAAGAGCTGAAGTCAGCTGAAAGTAAAGGTTAGCCTCTCCTATTGCCAGGTAGGAGTGAGCAGTGGGAGAAGTGGTTTATTTGTATCACATTAAGTCTGTTCATGGACGGTTTTCATAGGGTATTTGGAACATTTGTTTAAAGAGGCTAAACCAGTAGCAGTGCATTCATAGAATATTGTATCCAGTATTTTCACCCTCTTAAATGGGTTCACTATAAACTTTCAGGTACGTAAAACCAAGACAAACGAAGAACTGGGTTTCTTGGAGAAGGTGGATGAGCAGGTCCACTTGGATGTAGAATGCTCAATGAAGGAATTACAGGCCACATACGCTGAAACTGTACAAGAGTTGGAGAAGACAAGAAACATGCTCATCATCCAGCACAAGATCAATAAAGACTACCAGGTACAGTATTAGCAATAAATTGTAGTGCTGTAAAGCATTAATCCATTGCTCCTGTGGTGTGAACCTTAAAGTCTTATAAAAGAACACTTATATGTGTCAAAAAAAACTTATTTAGGCAGAAGTTGAAGCAGTAACGCGAAAGATGGATGATCTGAAGCTGGAGAATGAACTAAAGCAGAAGAAACTGGCCCAACTTCTGGACATGAGAGCTGCCAAGATAAAGAAACTAGAAGGTTTAGCTACATTCAAAATACTTTAACTATTGTAACTCTTAGCTTTATTTGAAGCTCACATCTATCTTCTAAAATTCTTGTTTCTTTCTTAAAGCTCAGCTGAAAGACATTGCCTACGGAACCAAAACCCACATCTTCAGACCTGATGTCACAGATGACGACGTGACTGATGAGTTTGATGAAACTGTGCATCTTGCTCGAGGGGAGAATCTTCTGGAGATCCACCTGGGCACGGCTCGGTTCAGCCCTGAAACTTTACAGAGTCTTGGTGACAAAGAACCATCCACTTTCTGCACTTACGCATTTTATGACTTTGAGCTGCAGTCCACGGGTGTGATGCGGGGGTCTCAGCCAGCCTATGATTTCACCTCCCAGTATCTGGTGAAAGTAGATGATCTCTTCCTGCACTACCTCCATAGCAGTTCCATCACTGTGGAAGTGCAGCTGGCCGAGGGTCTGGCTTACCACACCATAGCTGCAGGTCAGCTGCGATTGAATCAGGTCTTGGAGAGAGATGGGAAGGTGTTTGGCACCCTGCAGTTGATAGGTGAGTTCAGAGACAACATACAGGGCTTTTGGGTGATGACTCGGAGGGGAATCGCCTATTCATGGAGGTTTTTAATGATTTGTTTATCCACAAATGGATTTGCTTGCATTGTTATGCACTGTAACTCTTATTTTCTTTTTTGGTAGGTGTCAGTGGTGATATCCAGGCATTTGGAACTCTAGATTACTGGCTCAGGCTGAGGGTTCCTATAGAGCAGGCCATCCGTCTGTATAAGGAGCGAGCCAAAGCGCTGGGCTTCCTTAGCTCTAGCCTTAGAGACCAGAGCCAGGTATTATTAACAGTCACTATAAACTGACTACATGTCTGTCTGTGATTAGATGGCAGAGTGCGCTAATCTTATTCATGTATTTGGACATGTATTTATATGCTATTATAAAATGGATAGTTCCGGTTAGGGGTGGGGGGAAAACTCTATTCTTGGATGCATCACGATGTGGACGTGAACGATCTTGAATCGATTCACAAATGTCAAAAATCGATTTTCTAAATATTTAATTAATAACGTAATGTTGACGGAACACAAAAGGCGGAACTTGGAAGTGCGGAAGTGCAGCGCCCGGACAGTCTGTGGCGGCACATAACAAAAACACAACTGGATGAGCGGGAAATCCGACCGGCTCCCTCTGCATTACAAGCTAGGTTAGTTCAGTAGCTGACAACCCAAATGTTAAAAAGAGACATTTTGTCCTTTCAACAAAAATCAAACCACCTTTTGAGCCAGAACATTTTATGTCCAATATGTCTCAGTATGTGATAATGTCCTAAAAAAACATAAGACTTACTTTGCTCTGCTTTAAGCTTTAGCTGTAGCTCCTTTCCTCCGATCTCCACCAGGACACATTTCCTCAAAAGTTGAATAGTTTCTTGTAAAATGTCTCTCAACGTTCGACTGTTTTATGAGGCTCTCATACTTGCTTCTCATTCACCAGTTTCTTGTTCGAATTTTTCCGTTCCACCTTAAATTCTGACTGAGGCGCCAAATATAAATGCGGCACCATTTAAGGTGGAACAGGAAAATTCGAAAGAGAAGCTTCGCGACTTTTTAGTGTTTGACAGTCTCTTGTTGCAGATTTAACGAATCAGGAAACCAACTACGGTGCTTATAAATGCGAATAAGTCCATTTATCTCCAAATGTTCGTCTTAAATCTCTCTCTTTGCCTTTTTGTTAGCTACTAGCTAGGCAAGACTGTGTTGCTATGTGACCTGCAGTCTGAACACCAGTTCTCAGTCGTTGAGAACCAGGGCTTTCGCGCTATTTTGCACACATCCCGTCTCAAACATATTTTACTGACACAGCGATCCCCCCCGTCTCTACAACAACACCAAAAACCGAAGTTATAAAGTCACTAAAGAAAACAGGTAGGACGGCTGTAACATGTGCTGCATTGCCACAGGATCTTATTTCACCGTAATAGCGCATGTCATTACAGATGAGTGTCTCATGTACTCCAAACAAAAGCAGTGAATGAGAGCATTCTAGTTCACTTGCTACATCACTTCCACTTGTTTTATTAATAAAAGATATTGGAAGTAAATTCGTTATGGATCATTACAAATACTGTGCTTTAAAAGTACCAAGTCGTCACACAGTGAGAAAATAGAAATCCTGTATAGAAAAAAAAGATGCATCAAGATCGTTTTATCATTTTATAATCGCATCGCAGCCTTCTGAATCGTAATCGAATTGTGAGGTGCCTAGAGATTCCCACCCCTAGTTCCGGTCCTAAAATCCGATTGGCTTAGCCTTGTTTGAAGTCGTTGTAAAATCCATGATATACGCACACATATGATGCCTCACAACAACTGAATTCTGTATTACCTCGCTACGGCACGAAAAACCCTTGTGCTGTCAATGGAATAATCTTTGACTCTAATGCTGCTTGCCTGGACCACTGTGTATATTGATGAAGTAAGAACCCGTTTTTGTCTAAACTGAGGGGCTGACGACTTAGCAAACACCAGCGTGAGTCAACCACAGTGTTTTATTTACACATTTACACATGAAACAAACCCAAACAGAATTTCAGAGATGGCTTACTCAGCCTGTACTATAAGGAGTCTTTTGTCCGTTTGTCTATAAAATGTTACGATACGAAATATCCTGTAAATATGGTTATGTTTACAGCACGGTCTAAGAGTCCCTTGGTGTAGTTTTAAGTGACAAAAATAGAACAAAACAGTCTAGTCAAAACAAGCTATACTGAATTTGTATGACATTCTTTTAGTATACACTCTCAGAGAAAAGGGCCCCCTTCATGTCACCGGGGTGGGACCCTCAGAGGTACATCTTCAGTACCTTTAGTTAGGGAACATAATTGTACCATATTCAATAGACACTGTATTTTTTAAGTTGTAATGACTCCACACTGTGTCATACCCAGACGTTTTATATTGTTTTGTTTTAAAACATTAGGTTATTAGATGGTACAAATCTAATTAAGGTACACAGTTGGACCTTAAAACCATTGCTGTAGATTTGAGGGTCCATTTACACTGTTTGTACCTTGATGAATGCAAAATGTACCTGCATAGTACCTTTTTTCCTGACAGTGTAGCGTAGCATTAGTCATGAAGCATAAAAGCATTAACTGTATTAATGTAAGCTTAAATGTTCTGTGATACTGTGATATATTTGGAAAATATTGTGATATTCATTTTTGTCAATACTAATCTGATTTGAGTTATATAGACACTAATTGCACTCTTTCTTCATTAATAATATCCTGCAACACTTAGTATTTGTTTTTATTGCTTGCATTAGGTTTGTGCACTAGAGGCTGTACAGGCTGCTATATATTTGATCCCATGTGAATTCTTGGGAAGACATGTTTATGTCCTGGGTTCATGTTCACTTTTATGTGAAAAAGTACCTGCTCTATGTTTGTCAGGAATCCCAACAGCAGTGTGAGAACAAAAACCATAAATATTGTATGTATTGCTGCCAATATCTTGATATGTTGTCTCATGACAACCAACAACATAAATGTTAATGACTGTTGACCTTGGCCAAGAGGCTCTCTTTTAAAGTCCTCTTGTCCAACATCTCACTCTCATCTTGTGCTGACTTATGGAGAGGGAGAGAGAGAGAGAGAGAGAGAAAGAGAAAAACTGTCTCCTGCAGTGTTTGGGGATGGTTGGCAGCCCAGTGTTTCTCCCTAATTATATTACAGCTGTTACAAATTGAAAAATAATTCCACTTGCTGTCACTCATTCCTCTCCTTACGTTCCTACTGACAACATAGCTGTTGTTCTGTTTTGTTAACATGATGAGGTCTCTCTCTCTCTCTCTCTCTCTCTCTCTCTCTCTCTCTCTCTCTCTCTCTCAGTTAAAGAGGCTGTGCTCCTCTTCTGATTCTCTTTAGTTGTATGTGATCAGAGGAGGAGCATGCGTCATATGTTCTGGCATGGGCGGCTCCGCCTCTCCACCGCCACGCTTATTTAGGCATCAAGAAAGAGGTCAGATGTATATTGTATTTGACATACAGTGGAGCCCGAAAGTCTAAGAGCACTAGTGAAAATGCTTTTGTTCACATTCCTTTCTAATATAATACATAGTTTTTCATGTCTTTTTTTTGTCAGTGAAAATTATAATCTTTGAAATGTTTACATGAATTTCAGAATTTCTTAGTATGAAGTATGTTCCCCTTTAGCTTTAATGACAGTGTGCACTGACATGGAATCCACAAGTTCGAGTGCAAAAGCCTCTGAGGAGTAGATCAAGTCCACTTGAGTCATCTGAACACTAGCTTCCATGAAGGGGATAAAAGACACACATTTGAACTTTAAATAGTGGCATAGTGCAGAATCTTGAATTTCTTTGTCATTTTTCTTAATAGTTCTTTGTTTTACATTTTAATGTTGTTCATTTCCAGGTTTAAATAGTGGAAAATGGTTTTCTGTGTTTTCTCATTTTTATAGATTAATCTAACATACTTTGCTGTTATGTATTACATTTTGTAGCACATCAATATTAAATGAGTGATGAGTGTTTGAATAGAAATAAATACTTCCACATGTCAAAGGGAGGAAAATGGGGAGGGTGGCTGAATAAAATATAGTAGAATTGTAGATATTTGAACAATGCACACTGAAGTGCACAAGCTACCAGATAAGTTGTGTTTAAAAAAATCATTAAGTCCACTAGTTTCTTATTTAGCTAAGTTTTCTAGTGTTTTCTCACCGCTGTGTCTGTGTATGCTCCCCAGGCTTCGACTGCCCCTGTCCCCAGCACTTCATTTAAAGATGGAAACCTGAACGAGCTCAATGTCATAATACGCTGTTGCAGTAACCTCAAACCCAGAGGTCCTCATACTCAGCCCAGTCCATACGTCATCTATAAACTCTACGACTTCCCTGACCATGACACACCAATCATTACTTCCACCAGTGAGCCCCAGTTTGAGGATCACATGACCTTTCCCATCATGATGAATGCAGACCTTGATGTGTATCTGAGGGCAGAGGCTTTGACCCTGTATGTTTTTGATGATCTGGACTTGGAGAATCAGCTGTACCTGGGGAAAGCAAGAGTGCCACTTATATCTCTGGCCCATGATAAGGCCATTACCGGTGAGGATATTACTTTATTGCTGGGTTTTTATTGATTGAATTGAAATAACTGTTCTTGGGACTGCAAAGTCAATTTGGGCAATTTGTGCTGGATTTACTACTTAGAAGCAGATAAAAGTTAGCCATCTGTTCCCATCTGGCACATTCACATCATAAAATAATGATGCTGATTAGGATGATTAGTACGTATTTTCCCTGTTAAATAAATAAATGTAATTTTTTAATTTAGATTTTCTGCTTTTGCCACTGTGGCTTGTAACTATGTGTTCGATGATTTATCAGGTACGTTCGAGCTTACGGACCCAGATGGTGTGCCCAGTGGCTACATAGATTTGACTCTGAAATGGAAGTTCACATACCTGCCTCCTTCTGGCTCAGCCATGACTGCAGAGCAGGCCAAGTTCATCGTCAAAGAGACACCAGTCAAACTAGGAGCTGGTGGAGCTGAAAGTGTTAATGGAGGGCAGGAGAGGGAACTTAATCCCTTGTCTCTTTCCACACCTTCTGAGGTGAGTTATAGACTTAAGAGTGCATTTATGTTGTATTTTTGCTTAAACAGTTGGTGCTGGCCTGAATCACAGATGTCTCCCAGAAGCAGAGCAAAAATAAGAATACAGATTAATGTATATGAGTTAAATAAAACCACAGGCATTCAGTTTGAATATGTAATAAATCGATTACCTCTAGTAACAAGGAGCCCTGCAGTTTGCATAAACTATTCCAAGCACCAATTTTTACCTCTTAGCCTTTGCAACTTTTACTGCAGCCTCAGCAAGAATATATGATATATATATTTATATTTATATTTTTAGTTTTTGTTTTTTGGAAAATGAAATCACTGCACATTTTTTTGTCCTTATGTAGGCATCAAAACAA